TTTATTGAATTTCACCACGAAATTCATGAATTCGCTCTTTTCATATGGCATTCTTGCCTGTTGTTTGACATCCACACATGGTGAAACAAAATTTTTGTTTCTCATACAGAAACACCGTTGCGGTGGTGAAGGACAAACCCTTTGTTTACGTTGTGTGGCGACATCTACTATTTGTAAGTGGGTACGTGAAACTAAGGTTATCTGTCATCCTGCCGGGGACTTGAATGGAGCACACAAAAAATGACAGCATCGACGCAGTGCAGGTTGCTATGATTTTCATAAAAAAAAAGTTAAAAGTTCCCAACGGTGAAAACATGACGGTTGAGTACTTTAGTTAAATGAAATTTATTAATAAATAATTCAAGATATTCTTCGTTAGTCATTTTATGCTAGGGAAAATGTACCAGTTATGGCTATACGTTCCTATAATAATGTGTTCCAATTATGTCATGTGGAATTTCCATAGGCTATTGGAACACAACAAAACAGGAACATATAGTCATAACTGGTACATCTACCCTTCACAACTTCCATGTAACTTTTAAACAAATACGGAAAGTACTATTTTAACCGATAATGAAAAATATTACGTTTTCAGCTTAACAATAATTAACAGAAAATAAACTTGAATTTGAGTTTACTCAGTACATGAGTAAATTTGAACCAACGTCACTTTCCTGATTCACTCAACGGCGGACCTCAAATGGTAGAGCCCAACGTTGAGTTTTCATCAGGACTTATTTCAAATCGATTAATCTTGCTGGAGCTAAATCTAAATTTTTAACACATGTACGACTCATAAAGATTTCCAGGATATTATTTACACGGACAGAAAATTGTTTGCATTGAACCAAAAAAAAATTCATTTGTATTTAAACAAATAATTCCGGTTGAAATTATATTGCATTTTATTGTTTCGATATTATTTATTCAAATAAATTCAAAATAAGATTCTTTTTGTTTTAATAAGCCACTCTTCAACTGCAACTATTGTAAAAACAACAATATTCTTTTATTAAGCCAACAATAGTTGATTTTAATTTAACATTTATTTGTAGTGTCTGTTCCCCGGGCCATGAATGCAAAAATAACTACCAACCATTCCCTCGTTTCCACCCGGACAAAAATGTAAACAATAACAAAAAAATTCTCGTTTGATTCAGCTCTAGAGGTAAGCAAGTATGCTGCAGTCGCAAAATATAAACAGTTTTTCTTTTTTATCCTTTATTTTTTCCGTCGATCTTATTTTCAGTACTGAGCACCAATGCTCCCGACGCCAGGAAGGCCGATCCCACACCTGGACCATACTTATCGACCCATAAACTCATGAACCGGAGAGATTTTATGCCTCAGAAAGGTTTCAATTGTTATTCTGTTTGTTACAAATAGAAAACAAAACATAAAAATAATCCCAAATTATTGAATAATGAAGCAATAAACATATTTTTATTTCTACTGCGTATATTGTCAGTCTAAATAAAATAAATTGATTGAATCAACAAGAAATCTCTTTTAAAAACAAACATATTTTTTTTGTTGACCCAGCTGCCAAATTTGACAGCTTACGTCAAAACCATAAAAGCTCTCTTGTAAATTCGAAAATATTTTCTTTTTGATTTAACAATCCATGGGTTTTTAGAAATAAAGATACTGGATTGTTGAAATAATAATGATTTCTTTTTGCAGCCAAAACAAAATGAAATTCTTATTAAATTTGCGTCAAATATTATTACGTTTAAAATATTTTTTTCTGCGTGTAAGACTTAATTGTGCCTTCAGAACTGTAAGCTCTTGACTCCAGAACAGTTTGGAGAGCGACGAATATCTTATCTGTACTATTCCATGATTTTTATGATATCAAAAAGCTACTAGAGCTTCACGGACTCATAATGATTTTCAATACATAGTTCAAGACTTCATTGAGTCTGTAGAAATTCAAGATTTAAGATCTGAAGTTAAGCTTAACAATAGTTTGGAGAGTATAAAAATCGTATTGAAACCATTCGATGCCCAACTAACATTTTCAGCTTTATAAGCCAACTTTTCCAGCATTGTGCTGTAAAGTAGCTGAAACAAAGCTGCAGATACAGCTACAAGCAGTAGCTAGCAATGTAGTTTTGGAGAGCGTTTTCTCAACTTTCTCACAACCATTATTCAATTTGTCAGTCGCGCTGAATAACATCAGCCAATAAACACTAATGTCACTTCTATACACACACTAATCAACTTTCAACTTGTAGCTGCAAAACAAAGCTAACAAAGTGTATATATTGCTCATTTGATGGCTTCTACACAACCAACCACTCTTGCTGAATAACATAAACATCAAAAGTGCTTTTTCAACAACTAAACAACCTGTACTCAGCTAATTAACTGTGTTAGTGATACTTTGGAAGCAGTTTATTTTTAGACGTGTGCAGTTCTACAGCTTTTACTCTGCTCCTTTACAAAGCTGAAGTAACTAGTCGAGAAAAGTGATTCATGTGCACTATTAGACAGCCTCTACTCAACGGTATTATTGTAGAAAGTCATGTATATTTGTTTACCTTAGTTCAACGTGTTGGCGTAGCGAAGATGGTAGTGTCAAGGTTTGCCAATACACTGGAGTCGCTTTTTACGCGGTTTTTTTTTTACACGGTTTTTTTTTACGCGGTTTTTTTTTACGCGGATTTCGGAATTTACGCGGTTTTTTTTACGCGGATTCCGGAATTTACGCGGTTTTTTTTTACGCGGATTTTGGTTTTTTTTTACGCGGATTTCAGAATTTACGCGGTATATCGCTTTTTACGCGTTTTTTTCTTACACGGTCTTTTTTTACTCGGTTTATTTTTACGCGGATTTCGGAATTTACGCGGTTTTTTTTTACGCGGATTCCGGAATTTACGCGGTTTTTTTTTACGCGGTTTTTTTTACGCGGTTTTTTTTACGCGGGACGTATCACCCGCGTAAAAAGCGACTCCAGTGTACGGTCGTCTCGAGTTTGATTCCAGGTTCCGGTTCAGGGTAAATAATTTGGTGGTGTGCTTATAACTAATTTCGAAAAATTTGATTCTCGCAGCAAAATAAACTCAATATAAAGCGTAGATAATATTTAACTCGGCTTCAAGAGAAAGTTGTGTAGTGATTATTTGCATAATCGGGTAAAGGTTGAGTAAGCGCCTTTCAAGTTCACACACAACTTAAACAGCAGGATAACAGCTGTATAGAAGCGTAAATAGATATGCAAGAAGAGCTTGTTCCAACCGTCACAACAACTAGAAGTAGCTGACTAAGTTCGCCAGATTTGCTTGTATAGAGGTTGAGTAAAGGTTTCCTCATATCGTATAACATTTGAATACAGCTTGAGGCTGTATAAATGAAATGAGTAAAGCAAAGCGTTTACATTGCGAAAATTGTTAGTTGGGAGGCTCTCTTAGGCTTCACAAACTCATACAAAATATCAGGAGTTTGTTCAAGACTTCATTGGGTCTGTAGAACTTCAAAATCTTAGTTCCAGAATAGATTGGACAGTATTAAATATCTTATTGATACCATTCCATGATGTGCATGTTGTCAATAGGTTCTCTTAGCCTTCACGGACTAATTTTTCCTCTGTTCGGGATCTAACACCACTGCGACCAGTAATTTGATCTATTGTAGTATATCCCGTGTCCTTAGTTTAGTGCATGTTGTATTACTCCATCACTATTGAGAAATGATGAAGTATTGATTTTTTTTACAGTTGTCATTTTTGAATTTATCGCAAGGATCCGACTCTAGTTGAAAGGTCTCGCTCTTTATACCCTTCGCAATGTTGAAACACCCTCCATTTGTCGAGTTTCGCCCTTTGTCAGTCAAAATTGTATTCCTTAACAACAATAAAATTAAGGAATGACATTTTTTCCTTGTTTCAAGATCATCCTCGGTGGACAAAGCCGAGTCTTGTCACTATCAACAAGGCATAAAAAGTAACAAGGACTAAGATGTGTTCCTTTGATTACTGAAAAATCCTGTTCCCCTAGTTTGAAGTAGTCAGGATTAGGAATCTGTGGTAGATCTTACATCCCGTAACGTACCACGAAAAGGTGATCTACCCACGTTACGGGGCTTCACGGACTCATAGAGATTTTCAAGGCATGATTCAAGACTTCATTAAATCTTTAGAACTTCAAGATCTCAATCCCATAATGGTTTGGAAGGCATTAAATATCTTATAGATACCCTTCGCTGATGTGTATGTTGTCCAAAGGCTCTCTTGAATTTCATGAACTTATAAAAATGTCAGGATATTGTTCAAGATGTCATTGAATCTGTTGAAGTTCTTAACTCCAGAATGGTTTGGAAAGCATTAAATATCTTATTGACACCATTACATGATGTGCATTTTGTCAAATGGCTCTCTTGAGCTTCATGGACTCATAAAGATTTTCAGGAAATTGTTCAAGACTTTTATTGAGCCTATAGAACTTCACGATCTTAGCTCCAGAATAGCTTGGAGAGTATTAAAAACTTATTGATACCAATCCGTGGTGTGAATGTTGTCCATAGGCTCTCTTGGACTCCACGGACTCATAGAGATTTTCAAAACATGAATTGAAGTCATAATTAACACATACTTAATGTCAGGACATTGTTCATTGAGTCTGTAGAACTTCAAGATCTTAACTCCAGAATAGTTCTGAAAGTATGAAATTCTTATTGATATCAACCCATGATGGCTCTGTTGGGTTTCACGGAGTTATAAAGATTTTCAGAACATTGTTCAAGTGTTCATTGAGTCTGTAGTACTTCAAGATCTTAATCCGAGAATGGATTGGAAAGCATTACACATTTCATTGATACCTTTCAATGATGTGCATGTTATCCAAAGGCTCTCTTGCATTTCATGGACTCACACAAAAAAAAAAAAAATAAGGGCATTGTGGAAGACTTCATTGAGCCTGTAGAACTTCAAGGTCTATTAAGAGCATTAAAATCTTATTGATACCATTTCATGATGTGCATGTTGTCAAGAGGCTTTCTCGAGCTTCATGGACTCATACAGATTGTCAGTGGAGGATAAATTCTACTGTTGTGCTTTATTTTAAAAATCTCATCTGTATCCACACCCCGTATGCAAGGATTGTAAGAAAATCTTACACAGTAGCACTACAGTGAGGCAGATTATACAAAAATCAGGCATTCAGCTAGCCTCCCGTTCAGCATCCTCCACGTTCCTAACAATCTCATCGTACAGCAGTTCCTTCACTTCGTTCGCCAGTATGAAATCTACGTGACTGAACCGTTCATCCGGCACCGGGTAGCTCCCGACCACATTCGGAAGATCTCGTTCCAACCGTTTCACGTTGCCATAATTGATCACATTGTCGTTGTACCCGTAGTAAGTCCGTACCGGAGCCGTGATCCTCGATACGTTGTACGACGGCACCTTGGAGCTTCCGTAGGCCGCTCGATTCTGTTTGGCGTCCATGTAGTCGTACTGCCGGAACAGACCATCTGTGAAAACCTGCGTATAGTGCAACATCTGCTTTAGTCCCGATCCTGCCGGAAAGTGACCCAGGAAGATCCGGAGCGTCTTCTGCAGCGCGGGAAAAGAATTACGACTTTGAAGTGAGAAAATTACGGAAAGCCTGCAGAGATCTTACCTTATCCAGTTGCCGGGGATTGGCACCGGTTACTTCGTAGATCAACAATCGGCAGAGAGTTTGCCACGGTTCAGGACACACCGTATTGTAGAAGTTGTACTGACCCTTCCAGTGTGGAAGAAATTCGTACACTCCGGTGGCTGCGTAGCTGGGGCCTAAACTTGGAGCGAGCACTGACATGATCCGTATGAAGATGCTTAACGTTCGGTCGAGGTATGCAGCGGGAGATAATTCCTGGAGTTGAATGACCTTGGCGTTGTACTCCGGACGACTACTCATGGCGACGAAACTAATCAGTGTTCCTTGGGAGAACCCAACGTAGTGGAGCTTCGCGGAGCGGGTCTTGTCCAGGACGTAGTCGATCAACGCCGGAACATCGTAGTAACCGATCTCGTGGAAGGTAAAGTTCCAGAACTTCGGAGACCTTATGTGGAAGTACTTGTGCTTCCGGGAGTACCGATTACCACGGGCGTTTCCCAACCATATGTCGTAGTCGCGATTGGCCAACAGGTAGCCGAGGGCGTGCTTCGGACCGATTAGAACAAAATCCGAACAGCTGCTTAGAAGTGAGTGCATCATCAGGATCGGGCGTTTACCGGTGGAACCATTGCGGGGAGGAATCCGGAACATGGTCAGCAGGTAGTCATCTTCGGTAAGGACCTGATGCTCTTCCACGTCGTAGCCATACTTTCGGATCAATTGGGGCTGTAGATGAAGGGAGAGTTGTTGGCAAGAACTGATTTAAACTGTAAGATATGGCACAACTTACGACTGTCAAGAGAGCATCTTCCTCGTCAAACTGGAAAGGTGCTGAGGAGTTCTTCCCGTGGACAATTCCGAGCAGGCTGACGACGATAACGGCCAGTAAGAGCAACGCCATCCCGACTAATGACCGTTACCTGACGAGTTGATCGAATAAACTGATCGTTCTGTTCTCAGCCCACCTAGTGACAATGTACATGTACAATGTAACAGTGCATCGCCTATTCGCTAAGTGGGAAAATTACAGCTCACTGCGGCAGTGGAAAAATAACAATTAAACCTCTCGACTGTCGATATGTGCGCCCCTAATTGGGTGCTGGGAATTTTATGCATGTTTTATTATTGCCTTGTACGTACTAATTGTAGCAGCTAAAATCTCTCCGTCACTTCATGTAGTTGCATCTCAAATTGTATGAATCCGGATATAGGACTAAGTCCTAATATTCAATAGATCTTGCCAAACACATTATACTCGAATCGACCGGACCCATTTGTCGAGCAATTTCATTAAACCTGATTTTTACAGAACGAAGAAACAACAGTTTAAGTGATGGAATGATTTTCCAACTAGTGCAATTCCTATGTACAGTAATGTAAGCTGAGCTCAATTGGACGTGTGCTTGGAAATGTCTACTGCAAATCTAGAATCTCACAGTAGCTAATGGGATTTAATTAAAATCTAGAACTAACCCACTTCCGACGAACTTTCTAGGTCAGAATAACATATTTGACTTTCATGTGAGATAAATAGTATTCTAACATTAAAACATTACAAAGACGTGAGATACATTTATTAATATTAAGTAGCAAGATTTGAACCCAGCACCTCAGCCGCGTGTCTTTCCATCTGTGCTATCCTGTAATTGATTATATCACCAACAAATCCTCCATATAAGCTAAATGTTCCATGTTGAACAATAGCAGGGTTGCTGCTTGAATTCAGCAATATTTTTTATTCTATTTATAGCATTGCTTATTAATAAGCAACATTATAGCTTAATAACACCTTTTAGATATTGTTATTGAGCTTATGTATTATCAAGCCCAACAAAAACTGTACTGATATTTGTTGGATTTTACTACGTGCATCAACGACAACATTCAAGGGCATGTTGAACAGAAGATCAATACAAGTTATAACAATGTTTTTCAGTACTATCTGGTTGCACTGCACTGTTTTCTAATTTGACATTTTGACTTGTCAGCATCATTTCAGCGACAGGTTTGCACAAGATGAGTTCGCCTAAAATCGCGTGAAAAATTGGAATGTTTTGTGTGGTGTAGAGAACTGCTGGCTAATAAAATGAACCAAAACAAATGTAAATACTTTTAAAATAAACAAAATACCCACTGTCATTAGTTATTCTAGGTGACTACTTTGTAGTCGGCCAAACAAAGGAAGCCGGAAAACCTGTCTTAACCGTTGTTCCACATCAGTGGGTGAGCGACGGGTTCCTTATGTGGCCGGGCAAACATTCAAATGCTGTCCGGAAGAAAGCCACTAGTCAACCACACAGTTCATGGTAGCAGTTTATTTTTCAGTCTGCTATTGATGGCAACAAGATTGTTGAAGACATTTCGAAGATAATCGATAGTGCATGTGAAAAGGTGATCGAGACAGTAACCTCAAAGGTCGGTTCAACGTTGGCAGGATTGAAAGGTGACATGGACGTGAAGTTAGCTGCAGTGCTGCGGATGCAAACTTTGACTTTACATTTTCTCCTGTATCCTCCATCCTGGGAATTCAAGCACTTGAACAAGAGCTTGAAGATGAAATTTTTGCGAGAAGATTGGTAACCCAACAAACAATTTTAGCTGCCGACCAGCTTATACAAGCAAAAATTAGCTGCATAAGGCAAATTTTGGCTGTATAAGCTAATCTGCAGCTAAAATTGTTAGTTGGGAAGTACTCTTAATAATGATATGAATTATTTGTTTACTTGTCATGCTTTTATTTTAGGCTCTTCATATGAAGAAGATCGTGGGCTACACCCCTGATAATTGCAATGGACTGAATGTGTGCTATTCATTGATCGATCATTTATTTTATCGTGACCTTATGCTCCATTGCTCGTGGAGTGGAAGAAGTCAAGATCCAGCACCCAAATTTGGCATGAAATCCTGTTCCAACATTCTGAACGCATTCTTCGAGATAGTGTATAGTGTTAACACAGACAAACAGACGTAACTCATTGAAAAACTTGTTCTTGAAAACATAGTATCTCAAAACATATAACCTCAGTAACGACATCTCTCTGGCTTCTCGCGGAAAACAAGCTTGCTCACTAACTTGTAAACAATATTGCATAAAAGTTCTATAGAATATATAGAAACGTCAAAGTGATCCGATGCCAGCGCTGCGGCGAGTAGTTCGCGGAACTGATAATATTCAAATCAACTGTTAAATGCATGAACGAAGATACACAATGAAGAGTTACGTCTGTTTGTCTGTGGTGTTAATATTACATTTTCTAGAAGCTTGATGGAGCATTTCTTCAAGCAAATTACTCGTAATTCAAATGTCGTTGCAAGGCAAAAGGTTTGCGACAACCAACAGTCCATCGTAGAGGAAAGAAAGTGGCTAGTAAAGTTCAAGATATGACACTATATTTTTAGATTATAAAAATACTTATAAGAGCCTATACTTCTACAATCTTTTTAATAACTGATGAAAACAACGGTCACCAGAACAGAGAAGAATGATCGGAGTCCTTCAGCAGCTCCGAAACAGAACGTGAGGGAAGTGAAGATCTTGGTGAAGGCTACTCAGGGGAACAGCAGGAAAGTGAGAAATTTCTTGGCTTTCCTTAGAGCTTTTCGATTTCATGACGTTTTAGTACGCATCATCGGTTGTTAAATATGTTTATGTGTTTTTAAACACGTGTAATTTTTTTTACTCTATCTACTCCTCTTTTTTTTTTTTTTCGAGAGTTGACCAACTGGAGTCTTAATAGGCTAGCATCTCGGTTGGGCTCTCTTTCAGATGACTCGAGCTATGGTGCTCACTAGGTCACTGCAGCTTTTAGGCTCGTATTGTGATCAACTGTGTGTATTAGATTACGACCATAAATCCGGAGAACCCCGAGATCTGGGCGCAATCGCCTCTGCAAACAAACACGTCAATCGTCGGCCTCCCGCGAACAAAAGAACAATCCTGCAAACAAACTATAACAAATCGTAGAGGAACTATTCTTCTACCTGTTTGTGTTATTAGTTTTTCCAGACTGAGCCCCAATCCGCGAGAAACCGACAAATGACGTGCCCATCTACAAAAGCAACCACGCTCCAACCTCGAAGCTCTCAAGAAATATGTGATAAATCATGTAAATGTAAATGGAATATAGTAATGTCCCGATTTTGTCAGCCCCCTTTTTTGAAAATGTTTTCCAATGTTCTACAAAACCCATGCCCTTTTTCAGTAATCTTCTTGAACCTATTGCACCAAAGTATACTTTAAATATCCCTCTTATAGAATGACGAATGAGAAAAATTTAGATTTATGATTATGTGAAATTATTTAAAGAAAAAAGTCTGAAGCGTGGAGGGGCTGACAAAATCGGGTCATTACTGTATTGAAAATAAATAAATTCATTCTTACCTTTTTATGGTTGGTTGTTTATTAATTGCTATTATTACCTGCTTAGAGTTGGCTCCTTTAAAATACTGTGTAGAATTTACCTCATTATTCCTCAGTTCTATCGATTTGTGATAGAACCACGCTCAGCATATTATCCTGTAGTACGGCTTGGGCATGCACCATGCAAGTAAGTCATCTCTCCTCAAAATGATGGGATATGGGGTGATGGTGAAGGGATATAGAAAACGAATAAAAGAACAGAAAGAAAGGTATAAGTATTGGTTACATTTACCCCCCCCCCCCACACACACACACACAACGAAAAAGAAACATAGATGCACAGACAAACAGAAATAACACATTTAACGGCACCACCAACCAAAAACACTCGAATTGACCGTCAAATGCGTATTCGATGAACAACCTGGACATGCGACACTGTCACTGCTACTATGTTAGAGGTATGACCCGTCAAGTATCGAAGTGCAAAAAAAAAAAAAACTGTTAGAACTTTCTTATAAATTAACTTTACACTCAAAGCAAACTATTTACCTTAGCATTACAAAAGCGAATTTAAAATTACTATTTTATTTTATGCTAATATTAAAATTATGATAAAACTACAATTTACGGCTCCGTGAAATTAACTCGCATGAACCTTTCAAATCAATGAACTGGAGAAAAACTACAATTTTAACAAATTGCAAAAAAAATAATCATAGCGACACTTGACAAATCATCATCAAGCCCTTCATCCTTGGACAGGGTACTCTATCTACTCCTCTTTTCAATTGAAAATATTGAAAGAAACTGAATTGAGTGCAACCATTTCAACTAGTCCACAGTGAAATTCAAGAGGATCAACAAGAACTGTCACAGCCTTCAGCCGCTTAGCTAGAGAGGGCTGTTGTGAATCCACTTGTTGATCTGCCTTTTTCTTGTACCCAGTGATTCCAATCTTCAACATTTTATCCTTAATTTTATGCTGAAAATTAACGAGGAGCCACACATGATAGCTTCACAATAACAGTCGCTTCCGGGGTACTTACCAGCTTCCAATAATAGATAGGGGAAATGGATGTAATGTCAGCCTAAATGCTCCTAATTTGGGCCCATACATAAATTCAGCAATCGACTGAATTTTCAATAGTGACCAAAAATATCCATAAGTACCGTCCCAATGACGCGTTCATCTAGATAAAATTGGTAAATAGCAGATTTTTAGGGATGGGCCCAACCTTAGATCCATAGGCCAACATTAGAGCCATTTCCCCTATTCGAATAAAAAATAGTTTTCCACCACGCTGAAAATGTATCGCGTTTCTCAGTCACACAATAACAACGGAAAGCAAAGCTGAGTCCAAAAACTAACGGCGGGTTGCTGCGCTTGAGTACCGTTACGATTCAAATTTCGGACACTTTCATTTTTAATTAAATATTACATCCAGTTAGAAACCAAGTAATAATGTTAGATGATCGTGAAGGACACTAGTCAAAAAAATTTAAAATTTACAAGACATGTGGATCATATTCGACCGAGATAATCAACTTTTAAAAGTGTCCGAAATTCGAGTTTAAGTGTCCGAAATTTGAATCGGCACGGTACGAACGATGTTTTTCA